GGTCTCCTTGCAGGTGCGCGGCGGCTTCTTCCTCCTTAGGTCCACTATGGCGGACTGTCACCTTCAGTGGCCACCTCCGCTATGGCGCCTCAACCCTGCACACGACTTCGCGCATGGGATAGCGGGTACCTGCTCCGATACCAGTGCAATCAGACTCGACTTATTCACACTTTTCATGCACATGGACAGCAGCACAACAGACTGGCGACATGCGCCCAGACAGTACTCAGAGATATGGTTTCCAGGTAAGTTCACTTCCACTGGCTATGGCGACTGAGCGCCCAACATCCCACTGTTCACACACTCTGGATCACCCTGGATATCCCACGCACGACACTCTGCACACTCACACAACACACACACACTCTACTATAGTTATGGCAGCGCTAGCTGCCTCTACCCTATTGCTATGCTACACTTCTCTTCCCACTTCGACTTCGGGCCTACTGCAGACCTCCTCGCACAAGACGCTGAGGCAGCGCTTCCGCATGGCTTCTGCAGGAATGAATGAATAGCTGTGCCAAGCCTCTTGATTTATACTTCTGTGACTCGTTGGTCTGCCCTGTTTCCCTGGCCCACGGTGTACACAGTCCCAGACGGTACTTGCTTGACTGGACCAGACTGGCTGGACTGGGACTGCTGACTCTGCGTGGTGGACCTCCACCACTTGCCCACTTGCCTAGACATCCAGTGGGCTGACTTCCGAAAGGCTACCTGGCCCTTCGGTTGTAGCAGGTACGACTCTGCCCTTTCAGGTAAGTAGCAACTACGACTTGACCCTTCGAACAGTCTACTGCTACGACCTCTGGACCGTCTAGACTCCTACCCGACAGGTCTACAGTTCGAATCCCTTCTACCCTGTAGCCTACGAGATCCTACCTACCACTGGCGGTCCTACAGGTCGCAGGTTCAAATCCACGGGTTGACACAGGTACTCTACACAGGTAAGGTGGGGAACTAGGGATCCAGCCCTGGGATCTGCATCAGCTACTGCGAACTGGTGAATACCGTTTCAATGTCCTTATTTAGAAAAAAGAAAAGAAAAAAGAAACCGGCTAATTTGTCCCGAATCCGCAAGAGCCAGGTCGAAATTTTGACGAAATTGAGGGTAGGGCGTTCTTATAATGCCGTATCCCCCGGACTCCAGCTAAGTCCAGATACATCCTGGGGGTCTGGCATTCTTACAACACTGGAACCACTGGAATCCAGCTAAGTCCAGATACATCCTGGGGGTGCGGCATTTTAAGAACGCCAGACCTTCAAGCTCTAAAGTTTTGACTTGAATGGGGTGGATTCAGGCCAATTTAGTCGGTTCCAATTTCGTTCAAAAAATTTAAAAATGTCCGTTTTGATGAAATTGCAGTTATACGATTATATGATTGAATATGACCGCACGGGCTGTGACAAAGTCGGAACGTCATGAGTGTTTGAGAATGCCTTTGGTACCTCGTCACCCTGCTGCTGGGTGCCTGATTTATCGTGACCATCCCTGGTACCTGTGCACTCTGGGGATAGGGGGGTGCAGCCTTAAACACTATACCCTAGACCCTTGTTGAAGGTGTGACTGGCTTTTTCCCCTGTGTTCTGCACTTTTCTACACAGTGATCCCATCATTCCAAATTCACTCCAAACCCCTGGCCCGCCCTGACCTTACCTTTGCCTCTTTTCTCCAAGCCACCTATCCTTTTTCCTAGGAACATTTTGTTAAAAAAATAAAAAAAAATAAAAAAGAAGAAGATTGACTCTTCATGTATAGTTGGAAGCTTGTACTGAGTTCCTGCCAGCATTGATTACCCTGTACAGTAACTATGCTGGATTACCCTGTACAGTAACTAGGGCCTGTAGTACAGGGGATTGACTGAGCTGTGGGAGGTAAAGAAATTGACTGAGCATTCGGATGTTACGATGCTTCTACCTTGGGAACCTACTCGACCCTACTAACCCTGGTTCTCGACCTACTGGGACCTAGTGGGACTGGGCCCAACTCGGACTCTAGGAACGGGACTCGGGACGTGTGTGCAGCGTAAAATCCTCCTTTAGGTCCAGTTTTCCGAGGTGCTTGCCGAGCGTCGTCCAGATCGTCTATTTGCTCACGCATAGCGGCATAGGTAGAGGCTGTCTCGGTTAATAATCTATATATGGATGGATGAAGGGCACCCAGGACTGAAGCTCGTGTAGTACGTCTACCACCGACTGAAGAGCTCCTGCCGAGCCCGCCCGCCCGCCAAACCGGTCAGGGATAACCAACCACCAATTTGAAGTTTCCTTGTAGGCGCCATGAGGCCATGACTTAGTTGAATATTCCGGGACGAACCTGTGTGGCCATGACTATGGAGACTATCGTGGTTGTGGGAATGATGGAAGGATTGTTTCGTGCTTCGATTCTTTGTACCTCTGTGGCCATGACTATGGAGACTATCGCGGTTGTGGGAATGATGGGAGGATTGCTTCGGGCTTCGGTTCTTTGTTGCTACAACGCTACCGGGTAGTTGTTGTTCTTGAGCCGGATCCTCCTGATCAGTGATCTCCGCCTCCCGGACAAATGTCTGTCAGCCGCAGCTGCCTCTCTCTCTGCTACTTTACGTTCCTCGTGTGTAAGTACTGAGTACGTTCCCTAAGCAGGGAATTTCAGTGTCAAATGATTGGCGGAAATGACCAAGTACGTTTCCTAAGCAGGGAATTTCAGTGTCAATTCGTCAAATGATTGACGGAAATGACCGACCAAGTCCAACTCTAGTTAAGAGTCGACAAGCCGTAATCACTGGTCAGGGAAAGAATAGAGGAGGAAAGGAAAGAAGGGAACGAACACAGTTGAGTTAGTTTAGCCACCATCTCTGTCGTAACGTGGTAGCAAAACTGAAGTTTCCCCAATAGATATTATTAGGCTCTTTCCTTTTCAAACTTGAAGGTACTTTAGTCATCGTCGACTCATCGATCGATTTCTGTACGGGGTAGGAAATCTGAAGCCTCCCTAATACATACTAGATACTAGATAGGCTCTTTCCTTTTCTGAGCGTTTGGTCGGGTGTAGTTGCAAAAAATCGTTGATAAAAAAAAATAAAAAATCGCTGACTCAATCTGTCATGTACTGACTCTGTAGTTAACGAGTCAACTCTCCACCTGTCAATCGCTGACTCAATCTGTCCTGTACTGACTCTTTAGTTAACGAGTCAACTCTCCGCCTGTCACCGCGTACACAAAAGGCAAAAATTGTGCTCGGCAGCTCGTGTATATTTCCATATTCTAGAGGAAGATTCGTTCTCATTTTGCGCATTTGGTGAGTGATGGACCGACGCCCCTAGTTACTACGTAGTCAGAAATTACCCGTTGGTTAGAACTACCGAGTTAAAGATCATTCGGAGGAAGAATCGGAACTACGTTGCCAGGCTTACCTTCTTTTACCTTCTCTCTGATTGACCATGTCATTATCCACCATGGAAATTGCCGAGGTTTCGCACTGTTGTCCAGCACCAGCACCAGCACCTTCGCGCTTGGCGCCTTCTTGTGCAGGGATTGTTAGGTTCTTGGCGCCATTGATTGCTGACTTGGCGCCATGGAGAAGTGATTCCTTGGCGCCAAATAATGACGGCTCGAGTCAGATCCAGGGAATCTCCGATGTTGTAATTGGTGTGGTGTGTTTGCTCATGTCGGTGAAGATTGTGTCATACGGGCGAAATACGTCGGCCCTGAGAACGGGTGCGCGCCGAGTGGTGTTCCTTCTAGGGGCGGGTACTCTTTCCTATGGTTCCCTGCATTTGGTCAACGCTTGGCTGAACTACATCGATCCGTTAAGCTCACAGTTACAGCTAATCCTGATCGTGCTGAAGATCCTCACGGCCGTCTTGTCCATCGCCATCGCCGGCGGTCTCGTCCGAGCTGCTCCTTCCGTACTGGAGGTCATCAGGCAACGAAGCTGTCTTCAACAGAATGTAAGGCTTAACTCTCCGACCGTAACCCATCACATACCTGTTTCAACGCCGTTTGTTTGTTGTGCTTTCTGCTTTCTTTTTTCTTTGCAGGTTGGCATTACGTAGCCAACAGACCAGTGGCTATGGACGAAAAATCCAGCTTCGTGCTTTTTGGTACCCATCTCAGTGGTTCTGCAGCTTCTGCTCTCTCTCTCTCTCTCTCTCTCTCTCTCTCTCTCTCTCTCTCTCTCTCTCTCTCTCTCTCTCTCTCTCTCTGTGCGTTCTTTTTCCTTTTTTCTTTGCAGGTTGGCATTAAGTAGCCAACATACAAGTGGCTATGGACGGAAAATCCAGCCTCGTGCTTTTCGCTACCCATCGCAGTGGTCCTGCTGCGTCTCTCTCTCTCTCTCTCTCTCTCTCTCTCTCTCTCTCTCTCTCTCTCTCTGTGTGTGTGTGTGTGTGTGTGTGTGTNTTTTTCTTTTTTTCTTTGCAGGTTGACTGTAGCCAACTGTGCTGCCAACATACAAGTGGCTATGGACGGAAAATCCAGCTTCGTGCTTTTCGCTAGAATCGCTACCCACCGCAGTGGTTCTTCTGCGCCTCTCTCTCTCTCTCTCTCTCTCTCTCTCGATGTGCTCTTTGCTATCCATTGCAGGCATTTGAATGGAATGCTTTCAATTGGCGGGCGGTCAATCCATCCACATGTAGATTCTGAATAGCGGGGGAAGAGATGAGCTGATTTGCGTTGTGCCAAAAAATTAGCCACTCAGCCTTGTTGGTGCTTGTAAACGTCTCCAGACGGGTAATAGATCGTCGAGACGCTGAATGTGATAGCGAAAAAAGGGATTTGAATCCTCAACCTTAGGGACTGGTCGCGCCACTCTTCAAACGCGGACATTTTGAATGCCCAGGACGAGCTGGACTCCAGATACATTCCAAGTGTTGGGGTTTGGCGAGTGGTGCGTCGAGCCCCTTAGCCTTGGAAAGCTGGGCATCCATACTCACAGCGTGTGCTAACTGGGAACCCTTCTGCATGTAGGTGTTGGGGTTTGTCTTCTTTTGTGTTTTTGGTTCTTTCTTAAATTCTTACTTTGTCGAAAAAGGGAATCCTTAACGCAATGCATCGTTTGGTCTCTGTAAACGGGGCGGAGTGTTGCTCGAACTCTGTAATTTTTTTGAATGGTAGTCAATCTTTGTTTCTGTCGTTTCGAAAAAGCTCGTTTTTTTCAATCATAATGTGGAATTAATGTGTTGTTAAAAAAAAAAAAAAAAAAAAGCTCCTTTAATTTTTGTCATACTGCCTCGTTCTGATTCTGTTAATGAAGTCAAATGAGTTCTTAAAAAAATAATAATAATAATAAAAAAAAAATAAAAAAAATTGTCATACTAAATATTACTAAAAATGGAGTACAGAGAGCGCTGCACTTCTGTAGCTGTCCCCTGATTCCTTTTTGTGGCCTTAACTTAGGGCCTCGCCACATCACTGTCGAAAGGAAAAAAGTACAAGTGCATCTTTGTCAGAAAGTGGCAAGATTCATGCTTTACTATAAATAGTTACCTTTCCACTTTTTCGTGAAAGATGCACTGAGTCTAGTACTTTTCCTGTCTCTACAGTCGGGTGGCGAGGCCCTAACGATCGGTCCTCCTGACATCAGAAAACGTCAGGGGTACCGGTAGCGCCGTTTCACGACGGGTACCGGTAGTACAGTGGAAAACTGGGCGGGCCTCAAAAATGAAATTTGTGGAAAATAATCGGTGCGGCGAATATTTCATGGTGAAAATGATTTTATTTATTTTTTGATATTTTTCCCTGAAAGATCACGACCTAATCTACGGACCCTCAAAATTTCGGACATTTTGGCGAATGTTTCTGAGCACAAAAAATCGGGAAAGTTTCTGCTTGCAAAATAGCAGGATTGGATGAAATTTGTGGAAAATAACTTGAAATAAACCGAATCGGTGCGGCGAATATTTCATGGTGAAAATGATTTTTGTTTTTTTTTCTGATATTTTTCCCAGAAAGATCACGACCTCTGATCTACGGACCATCAAATTTTCAGACATTTTGGCGAATTTTTATGAGCACAAAAAATCAGGAAAGTTTCTGCTTGCAAAATGGAGGGATTGGGACCCGTAGGCCCCTCCGTACAACCTGGAACCTCCGTACGGTCGCCCCTCCGTACAACCCGGCCCTAACTCACAGGGACTAGGGGCCTCGCTGCACTACTCTCAAAATGTGCAAAACGAGAGTGAATCTTCCGCTAGAATATGGAAAGATACACGGCCATGATTTTTGTCTGTTGTGCACTTCGAGAGTTGTGCAGCGAGCCCCTTAAGAAGATGTACGGCATCACCACACCACTCTCGGAATGTGACAAAGACAGAATCTATGGCGGATGTATCCTTCTTTGTTTTGCGGAAGATACATGCAGTCCAGGCCAGATGTATCTTTCTTTGTTTTGCGGAAGATACATGCAGTCCTGGCCGTACCCGTAGTCCTGGCCGGGTGTATCTTTCTCTGTTTTGCGGATGATACATGCTCCATTAAATCCATTTTGCACATTCTGGGAGTGACGTGGCGAGGCGCGTAGTCCTGGCCGTGCTTCGCGTCCCTCATTCGCTGATTCCTGCGTTTGAGAAGGTTGGCTTTTAGGATTCCAATGTGAGATCGTTGATCAGACTAGGGACTTTCTTGAGCGTATCGGGATGGAATGCTATCCAGATACGTCCAAGAATGTGCCACCAAGAATCATGAATTGATTGCTGGTAGAGTGGCACTGCAGCCTATTGAAGACCAGTGCACTGCACGCGGCTTACTTGGCGCAGGAAACAACGAAATCGCATTAGGAGACAGTCCACTAGAGAAAAAACATGGGCAGAAAACTTGAAAAAAGGGAAAACTGAGAGTAACAAGTAGAATCGTCAAGATCAGTAGAAAAGATTGAGAGAGAGAGAGAGAGAGAGAGAGATTGAATGGAAACAGCTTTTGGCTGAGGATCATCTCCAAATTCCCCACCGAACTAAAAAGCACCAAGGAACATAAATTTTAATTAATAATAAATAAATAAATATGAAGTAAGGATACTGTTTTGAACTGCCAGTACATTGACCAGTGACGTGCATAAGAGTACATAAGCTTCTACTTGAAAGGATCTGCTTCCTACCGTCTTCACACGTGGAACAGAAGGCCTGGTCTGGACCGAGAGTTGTCCAAAATACAGCTGTAATGACTATTCAGTCTGCCAGGCTTTCTATTCGGGCCAAGTGGGCAGTTACGTGTGCCAGTCGGCCACATAGACCAGGTTGTCGTCAGATTCTCATGTCCTTGTCGAACTCGATATGATCTCTCTGCGATGGTGTGCCTTGTGTCCTGTCACTCCTGTGTGTGCCCTCATTACAGGTTGAGCATCTGCGTCAAGTGTTGCTTGACTTCCGTACGCAAGAGAAGTATTGCAGTATTGCTCGGTTGCTCTGCAGTCACATCCACAACTCTTTGGATCGCGATACGATCATTATGACGGCCTTGGAGGAGCTGACGAAAGTCCTGTCGCTGAACTGCTCCGCGTTCCTCGCCCCATTGACTTCTGACAGTGACAACTTCGCTGTCACTCATGAAGCTCAGCTGGATACAAATGATCCGTCAACAGGACACGTCGTGGTCTCTGTTCAGGGGAGACCACGTGGTCAGGGAGTGGTCCCGAGGAGCGACCCCTTGGTACAAAAGGCTCTCAGTGAGAAACGAGCAATCGTCGTGAGCACTTCGGAAGTCGTACGACATCCCGACGTTGAAGGCCGGGACAAGTCACTCATCCGGTATCATAGTCACTGTGACGCTGAACCTCATTCTGTCCTCGTGGGAAGCTCTACAACGGCGGGGAGTCCTATGACTTCGGGAGGTTCTACAGAAGGGAGAGCTTCGGCATCATCGAGAAGTTGTGCAGCGACGGGAAGCTGCGCAGCTTTGAGAAGTTGTGCAGCTTCGGAGTGTTGTGTAGCGGCAGCTTCGGGAAGCTCCGCCGTTACCTTGGGACGCTGCAGTTCTGCAGCGTTGGAAAGCTCTGCAGAGCTTGAAGAAATTGGAGGTGCTGCAGCTTCTGGAGGTTCTGCAGCAGCAGCTTTGGGAAGCTCCGTTGCTTGGGAAAGTAATGCGGTGTCGGGAAGCTCGGCAGCTTCGGGAACTTCTGCAGGAGCGGGAAGCTCCGCAGCAGCCGCGGAATGGTGTGCAGTCTGTGCAGACCCGGGAAGCTCTGTCGCGTCGAGAAGTTGTGCAGCTGCGCGGGGTTCTGCATCTGCAGCTGATGGAAATCATCGAAGTTCTGCACCTCTCGGACGCTCCGTTGCTTCGGGAAGCTCTGGTGCTTCAGGAAGTGATGTTGCTCCAGAACATTCTTTCGCTCGATGTTGGACATCAGGGGAGGAAGAGGATCTGGTAGCCGCGGTGCGTGTTTGTGTGAGATTACCATCTGTCGAGGATCCCCTGTCGTCGAGATCTGGAGAAGGAACTCCTCGCGGCGATTATGCGTTTTTGAAAGCGGGAGGCCGTGACGGTCCAGGAACATCGTCGATTCGGAAGGGATGCGCGGGGACAAGCTACTGCGCGCTTTTGAAAGCGGAAGGCCGTGACGGTCCAAGAACATCGTCGATTCGGAAGGGATGCGCGGGGACAAGCTACTGCGCGCTTTTGAAAGCGGAAGTAGGCGGCAGCGCGCTTTTGAATTCGGAAGTAGGCGGCATACTACCGGTCGCTGTTGCGATAGATAAGGAGTCGCTGGGGGGTTGTACCATTTCGCAGAGGCGCTCAGAGGAGTCAGAGATGCAGAGCCGCCGGAGCGACATCGGTAAGTTAAACCCCGATGCGAGCGTGGAAACTGGAGCTGCTGCTGCTGATTTAGCGGTTGTTCCAGGAACGTCACAGGCGGGAGCTTCGTCCTGGTTTTCTCAGTCTCTGGAGTCAGAGAGGAAGATGGGAGATGATCCGTCTCCATCGTCTCAGTCTATGGATTCGAAGACACAGAGGATCTCACAGCCCGCGGGGCCGGAGAGGAGGGAGAACAGCAGGCCGATCACGGACGCTGCTTCCGTAGACTCGGATGCTTCCCGCGAATCGTCAGTGACAGGTTTGGAGGCGCCGTCGTCATCGGGGTCCGCCCAACCTGTAGGGGTGTCAAAAGTTCAGAGGCTGAAGGAAACTGGGCATCTTGAGATAGAAGAGGACGCTACGTATGAGGGGAAGAAGGATGACCAAGGTTCGGCGATGGCGGCCGCAGCGGCCGCAGCGGAGAAGGAGGGTCTCTCGAATGAGCGTTCTTGGCAAGATGGCCGAGCGAGGTTCTCGGTTGGCGTGTTGGTATTCGTGCTGCCCTCTGGCAGAGGAAGGAAGTGGCGCGGTTCCGATCTCACTTTGATCGACAAAGTGCGCGACCAGTTGGAGGTGGCTTTGTCTCATGCTGCGGTCGTTGACGTCACATGTGCTAACATGATCAGAATTGCCGAGGCCTGTGATGCCCTTCGCAGAGAACAGGAGAGACATCAAGCTGTCATCAAGAGCCATCAACACTTCCTCACGGTAGGTTCCTCGCGCACGATTTCAATTGCCCCTAAATTGCCCCTAAAACACTTTCTGTCTGCATCTCCTAAGCTTAACGGCTTTCCACTTACATGCGATTATGATTTCAGAAGTGTTATCAAAGCAGAGTCTGGCATGAATGAGTGAACGAGTGTTCGGTAAAACAATATGTTTTTTTTTTGGGAAAATTTTCGAAATGCCCCTGAAGTTTTCGTTTATTTGCTGCGTGCCCCTCTGACGGCTGACTTACCTTGTCGCGGCCCTCTGACGACGAATGATGTTTCCAGAAAACCCCTGGCGTCGTTTGGGCCTGAAAAATATACCCCTACTGGTACCAGTACCAAATTTTCAGTATGCCCCTACCGGATGGCCGTTGAGAACCAGCACAAAAGTTTCCCATATGCCCTCCGTCCATCTTTCCAGCGAGCCCCTGTGGCCGTTGTTGACACTCAGTCTTTCCCCTGGCCCCGGGAGAGATGCTACCGGGGCATATCAGAAATTTGGCAATGAGTATGGACACACACACACACACACACACACACGCACACACAACACACACACACACACGCCCACACACACACACATGCGCACACACAACACACATATACACACACACACACACACACACACACACACACAACACACACGCACAACACACACACGCACAACACACACCCACACACCCACACACAGACCTTTTTTCCATGGCGGTGCGTGGAATGCCTACCACTTTGAATTCGAATTCCTGCCGCCACTGCTGCAAGGGCATCACAGAAAGATGTGTGTCCCTCGTGAGGGCATTTCAAGGACCGACCTACGAAACGCCACCAGCGGTCCAGTAAAGGCATATAGGAAAGTTACGTCCCATGCTGACAGGGGCCTGCGGAAAATTTCAGAGGCCTGAGGGGCACCACAGTGTAAGTCGGCCTTCACAGGGGCATGCCGCAAATAAATGCAAACTTTGGGGGCATTTCGAAAATTTCCCCTTTTTTTTTTTTGTAGTTGTTGCTGTAAGAAGGGACTCAACTGCTTCCAGTGGAGTTAGAAATCAGGACGCTGGACCCGCTTTCCAGCAGGTGGTCCTCCCCACCAATAGATGGAGCCTCCCCGACAGTGCTGAAACGGTTTTGACCAGTTCGCAGTAGCTGATGCAGATCCCAGGGCTCGATCCCTAGTTCCTCACCTTACCTGTGTACAGTACCTGTGTCAACCCGTAGATTTGAACCTGCGACCTGTAGGACCGCCAGTGGTAGGTAGGATCTCGTAGGTTACAGGGTATAAGGGATTCAAACTGTAGGCCTGTCGGGTAGGAGTCTAGACAGTCCAGAGGTCGTAGCTGTAGACTGTCCGAAGGGTCAAAGTCGTCGCCGCTATTTACCTGAAAGGACAGAGTCGTAGCTGCTACAGCACCGAAAGGCCAGGTAGAGGTTTCTAGAAGTGGCCTTTCAGAAGTCAGCCCACTGTAGGTCTAGGCAAGTGGGCAAGTGGTGGAAGTCCACCACGCAGAGTCAGCAGTCCCAGTCCAGCCAGTCCGGTCCAGTCAAGCAAGTACCGTCTGGGACTGTGCACACCGTGGGCCAGGGAAACAGGGCATAGCAACGAGTCACAGAAGTATAAATCAAGAGGCTGCGCACAGCCATTCATTCATTCCTGCGGAAGCCATGCGGAAGCGCTGCCTCAGCGTCTTGTGCGAGGAGGTCTGCAGTAGGCCCGAAGTCGAAGTGGGCAGAGAAGCGTAGTATAGCGATAGGGTGGTGGCAGCTAGCGCTGCCATAGCTGTAGTAGTGTGTGTGGGTGTGACGTGATTGTTCTGAGTGAAGCGTGTGGGATATCCAGGGTGATCCGGAGTGTGTGAACAGTGGGTTGTTGGGCGCTCAGTCGCCATAGCCAGTGGAAGTGAACTTACCTGGAAGCCATATCTCTGAGTACTGTGTGGGCGCATGTCGCCAGTTTGTTGTGCTGCTGTTCACGTGCATGAAAAGTGTGAATAAGTCGAGTCTGATTGCAGTGCTAGTGGTGTCTGCTCTTACCAGCACCCCTAGCATTAGCTCGGTTTGTTTCACTGGAAAAAAAAATATAAAAAAATTCAGGTCTGCATTGGGCTCCTGTACCTCAAATCTTTCCTGTTCTCTCTCTTGTAGCTACGGTGTATAAGCACCTTCTGCAGGCTAAGGCTACCACTCTCTCTCTCTCTCTCTCTCTCTCTCTCTCTCTCTCTCTCTCTCTCTCTCTCTCTGACTCTAGCTATGGCAGCCTCTCACTCTGTCTGCCTCCTGTCGCACTCACTGTAGCACGTCATTGTACCCGCACAATGTAGCTCGTGCACTGTAGCCGTGCACTGTAGCACACTGCACAGCTACACGTGCATTGGGGAATGTGCACTGTAGCCGTGTGAGGCAGAATGAATCCACAAGCTGGGGGAGACCACTGTGTTTCGTGTTTTACCCCGACTGGCGGCCCTGGCCTGCCTCCAGTTTGCCTCGTCGAAGGGTTGAGATTTCTCGATCTGCTTGCAATGACCCAGATTTGCTCGTGGTCAGTGCGTGCCTGGACCCAGTGGGGCTTGGAAACTGGACTGAGCCTTTGGATTTGTTGTGAGAGATTTGTGGCTGTGGTTGACTCCCGGCAAATCCTTGACTCTTTGATTCCTGTTCCCAGGTAGGGCTTAACTGTTGACTCTCCTGGAGCCTACTTTTGGTGCCTATTTTTGACCCTTGAGTCCTTGACCCGGTTAGCTATTCACCAAGGGACATTCTGATGCCTCTTCAGAGTTAGGGAATTGACTTTTGGGCCCTTGACCCGTGGGCCCTGGCCATGTCTGTGCAGATTTCACACCGGTTCATGAGACTTATCAGAGTCTGTAGGACTAACTTTTGACGCCAGAACTTTGCTAGGTCAAAAGCTATGACAATTAGACTTACTAGTAGTACCTTAGGTTCTACCCATCTCTTAGACTTACTAGTATTACCAAAGGTCGCTTTTTTGACTGAGACACGGACTATACCATATTCTGTACTCGGACTGAGGGACATTCTGACACACGAAGGCACTATAGTTCTATTTCTCATGAATATCCTTGACTCATATTTTGGAGGCATGTTGGGAACATGTTTGATGCACACCTCTAAATCTTGTGCAGCTGACTCTTTGCTATCACAATCTTGGTCTCCTGTTCTTGTTTGTCGCACTAGGTTTGGGTGCTATGGAATCTGGGAGTGCGTTCAATGATGCTCTCCTAGGTCCTCATCTTGAGCACAGTCTTGGCGTGTGATAGATCTGCGTCAATATATACCCAAACAACCCACGACAGGGAAAAAGTTGGTCAGTTCCTTAGTCCTCCATATGATGATGTCTGGAGCTGTGAATACCCCCTACTATCGTACGGCCGTACGGCGAACGGTCCGTTCGTACCGGTTCGTACATGCCCGTACGAAGTGCCAAACCAACCCCCAAGAAAAAGAAAAAAAAAATTAAAAAAATGGGGATGTAGAGCGTTTCGTGCTCTAGAGCCCCATATTTTTTAATTTTTTTTTGGTCTGTTTTTATATTTTTTAAGAATAAAAATAATCAAAACAGGGAGAAAAAAACAAAATAAAGAAATAAAATTTGGTTGATTAATTGATTGATTGATTGATTGATTCAAAAAAAAAAAAAAAAAACGTTGACCATAGCCATCTTATACCCGTCCCTCCTACTTGGCTAAGTGGATGGCTATGTCGGACTAGCGGAGACCTGCTCTGATGTTCAAAGGGCAAGACAAAGACAATGTGTCCCTTCTAAAATGGTCAGTGGTCATCATTCCTAACACTGGCCCGAAGTATTCCTTGATGAAGCCAGCCCCCTATGGGCCCTTCCAGGTGCAGCGCCAACCAAGAACGTGAAGAAGCAGACCATGGTAGCCAGGTAGGCACCCCTGGCCCCTGGGCCCTGTCACTGTCCTCCTTGCCCACCGTCGTCGGCCTTGGCTATGGTCCTCTCCACCGTAGCCAAGGCGGAAGACCAAGTCTGCCTTCTTCCTCCTCAGCGCCGGTACACCAAGCGCTCGCTCCAGGAGCATGACACCAAACTTGCACAGCGTGACACCAAACCTGCTTACCCCAAACTGAGGAGGCGCTCTTCACTCATCCGGAAGTTATACCGGACTGCTGCGTTCTTGAGAGGTGATTTCCAGGCTGCTCGGCCTCCCAAGCTACCAGTACGTTCCTCCTTTTTGGAGGGAAACATCATTGCAGTCTGATATCCTTCGCTGCAGGCCCTAGGCTTCAGCTACTAACTTTTGTCTTCTTCTTTTCCATCCTCCGCGGGCCTAGCCTACCCGCTACTAGAGTGTTTTCCATCCTACAAGGGTCTAGCCTACCATTAAGTCCCCGCTGCCTGCTACAAGAGAACGGCCACAGGTAAGTACCAGGCCCGACTGCCTTTCCAGTATACAAGAATCCCTGGCAGGCCACACACACACCCAAGCAATCATCCAATCATACAAACACATGGGAACCCAGCATTCATGCACACAAGTAATTAGAAACATCAGCAGAACAGGGGAATCTCAGCGAATCACAGAGTCCAGCTGCAAAACTCAGAACACAGCAGAGTTCTCAGTCTGTGCTTCTGCAGGTCGTCATTACAGAGATAAAAAAATCATCTTCGTGTACCCATCCCATCTGGCTGAATGGCACACCCATGCACTGTTGATGAGTTTGAATGCTGATGAGTTCAGACGCGTGGGCCAAGCAGTTCAATGAGATACTTCAGGGCTGTGACCCTGAACGGCGGAGGAAAAGAACAAGATTAAAAGTAATAAAAAAAGATTGTGTCAGATCCCAGACTGCGGAGAAACATGGCATGATGGCCTCACTCTTTGCACACAGTATGCATGCAAGAGGCGGGCTAAGCCTTGTGCTACCTCCCACAGGCATCCGCTTAACTTGTCTGATGGTTACCTTTTGCCATGCTAGAGGAGTTGTGCAGCTCGTAATATTGGCATCATTCACTTGTTTGGGAGTAGTACTGAACTTGACGGCATGGTAGCCTTCTCATGCTTGCCTTCCCATAGCTGATTGATCATTGCTGAGCTCGCTTCCCTCTACATCTGACATAATTGACTTTCTCAAACCCCTAAGCTTCTTAGCTTCCAATGCCCTCCATTTTCCTTAGCAAATTGCCCCGGAATCCTTGATCGCCTCATGTGATATCTGGGCGAACCTGTTCTTCATGTCAAACACAACTTCTATCACCCCTTGGTGCTGCGTCAGCGTTTGACTGACACTTCACGTCTATCGAAACTGTATTGAAGTGTAAGCTCTCTGGTAGACAGCCAGGCATTCATTGCAAGTGGCTCGCCACTTTGCATGTGCCCTCCCTAGTAGTGGGTGCATTCCATGCAGGAGCAATATTAGGCCCCTAGCTTGCTGGATCCTTGATTCTTTGGGTTTCGGCGAAAACAATCATAGGAGGCCTCTAATCACCCCTCGCTTCTCCATGCTCCCTGTTTTGCAGTTCTACATCTGTAAACAGTGTAAAGCCCTTGAAAGTTGCAACCTGCAAGTATCACACTGCTCAACTCTCAGCACAATGTCATGTTGAAGATGCACCCATGCCAGAAAGTATCATACATCGCCCGTGCATACACAACCGGGTCCTTGGGTTTCGGGCCTTTCGGCAATAAAAATAGTGCCCTAGATTTCATTCCATGCAGCAATGGAAGTAGCACCAGGTTTCTTGTCGATAAGCATACACACAAGTCCTGTCAGCTTTTCCACGCATTCCTGAGCCACCTTGAACCATGCATTCGCCCCCTCCTTGTAGTGGTGCACACATCTACCCGATTCATTACTCTGAATATGAAGCTCTTTCCTGGATTTCTATCTGCATCTTTCCTGGATCTCTATGATTCACCTATTACTGTATGTATATGTCCATCCGAATATATTTGCTGTGGAAACCCCCCAATGCATTTGATCCTTGCGGCACTGCTGTGCAATTGTACATCAGTTCAAGTTACTGTCAACAAACTTAACAAACGATGTGACAAAAGACACTTGCATGACGTTATGTCAGCTTAGCTCTCACGTAGCCCCACTGCGACTCATGCCGCTCAACACACAGCCATCGCAAATATCCATGACATTGTGGCGAACAGCAGAGGCATACTTACATTTGGGCTTTCCTGCCATATCTGGACGGGCAGCTAGCCATCACAAATATCCATGACATTGTGGCGAACAGCAAAGGCATACTTACATTTGGGCTTTCCTGCCATATCTGGACTTGGCTAGCTGCCCGTCGGAAAGGCTAGCTGGCTGGCTGGCTGGCTGCCTGCCTGTCTGCACACACAGGCGCCTGACTGCCTGGTTGGCTTGCAGGTTGGCTTGCTGGCTTGCTGGCTGGCTGGATGGATGTATGGATGTATGGATGTGCTGCCTACGAATGCCCGAACCTTACTGCTATTGCATCTACAATCAATGACATGTGAAAAACGGTAAAGCCCTACTGACATAGATTTCCTGGCTGTATCTGAACTCAGTCATGACGAGATTCACTGCAAGATGCTAAACCAACGATCAAACCCTACTGCAACATCCCTAAGGTGTTCGACTGGAGACAAGTGTAGTGGCATTGGTCGTTGAACCATGTCTAGCAGAGATGAGCAACAGGAACCCAGACGCACATGGTCCACACCCACCTGCACCCACCTGACCCACAAGCCGTCAGGTCAGGTCTGGGTTTAAATTAGCCTAGTACCTGGGTTGGCCGTGGGTGGGCTGAGGTAAGCCCGCCTGGTGGGCGATGGGCGAGTCAGTGTATGATTGGGTCACACGATCCATAAGACCCAAGAAAACCCACAAAGACCCCCACCCTCCCCCTCCCGTCTTCCTCCCAATTTCTTAAAAAGAAAAGGATTATGCCTGGTCCAGCTGCTCACCCCCTGTGGCCCATTCCCCAAAATACAAGCCTGGGTACGCCCATTTGGACCATAACTCTCCTGTCAAAACAACAGGGATCGAATCTAACCTCACCAGGTGGCAAGATTCACCACTACCTATTTCGGTTTGCCACCTCTCATTTTCACGCCACAGCCAGAATTTGTCAACGGGCTGCACAAGGCGGACCAGCAAGGAGGAGGCAGAGCAATGACTCTGGCAAGTTGTATCACATCGAATGCTGGGGATCTTGGGGTGACAAGAATGTGGGCAGCTGTGAGCCGGCGTAAAATAGTAGGTATCCGTGTGGGGGGGCAATGATCTCCTCACGGGTGGGGGCGGGTCAGGGTGAAGGTATTTTTAGGGTGGTGGGTGATCCGGGTGCGGGAGCAGAATTTTGGAAAAAACTTGCACTGGGCAGTCAGCAGACTGGGTTGCCTTGAGGCAAAGTTTCTGGGAGGGGCGAGGGCGGACTGCACCAGAAAACAATTGCGCTGGTCAGGTCTGGTGGCAACAAAAAAAAGCGCTCATCTCTGAATCAGATGTCTAGGAAATCCAAATTCTAATTTGTTTTCCAAACTTTGTGGATATATATATCAGAGTTGTGATCCAATGCCTTCACACTTCACACTAGGTAGGGATGTAACAGTTGTGATACATCAGGGACTTTGTCCTAAACATGCTCAGGTTTTGCCTAGGTTCGACCAAGCAAGTTCACCTATGTTTCTCATATAAGTTTATATAACCAATGCATCAATTTACTGATATTGTGGCATGTTTTGTTGGGCATGTCCCTTTCAACAGGTTATAACCAATGCATCCATTTACTGATATTGCGGCATGTTTTTTGTTGGGCATGTCCCTTTCAACAGGTTATGAACCAGCAGCTTGAAGCTCCTCTCAAATTTGTGGTCAACGGCCTTCAGTTCTTGAAAAAAGCAAGCATGGCCCCTGAGCTAACTGATTTGGTGACGACAGCTGCCCGCTCCTCTGAGATGCTGTATGATGTCATTAACGACATCAAAACTTTTGAAGCACTCAAATGCGGCAAGCATCCACTCAATTTGGGACCGTTCTTATTCAGTGAGCTGATGAACGACGTCAAAGAAGCAGTCAGGCAACATGCAGAAACTTGCGAGGTGGTGATATCATACGACTGTGATGCGAACATCCCTGCAGTGTTAGTGGGAGATCGCTACCAACTATTTTTAGTGCTCCGACACCTGATCATCAATGCATGCAAGTTTGGTTTAAAGAAACCAGTGGTTGTCACCGTAAATGTCAGGTATGAACGAGAGCAAGTTCATCAGGAAACGAGTGTCACTTACACAATCAATTCTCCTGTCGGCCTTGAAGGCCTGTCCCATCAGATGCACTCTGCCTGTCAGCTGGTGACATCAAGCCTTATTCAGAGTGCTGAGTCAGGTACATCAGGCTTATCCAGTCATCTACTATTGGGCGGACAACGGAGCCAAAGCCTTATTGCAGAATTTCCTGCCGATTTGAAAAGTATGGAGGAGAATGATGAGAAATCACAATGGATGTCCTTATCTGGGTTCTCCCCCAAGTGCGATCTACGACTCCCAATGGATACAGTGAGTGGATGTCAGGCGGTTCCACAGAACAGCTCTGCTGAGTTCATCCGGTTATCTGGTCAGCTCCGGGACTTGGGGATAGGTCTTCAAGACAGCTTGATCCCGGACCTGTTCAAGGAGTTTGTGCAGGGTGACATGTCCACAACTCGCAGGCATGGAGGCATCGGACTTGGGCTGTCCATCTGTCAGGCTATTTGCCAGCACCATGGTGGCCATGTCAATGTCCAAAGTGAAGGTGTTGGCCAAGGGACGACTGTTTCCTTCAATATGAAGTTTGGCATCCACAATGCAAAAAGAGTGCATAGTGAAAAGGAACAGCTGCTTTTGGGAATTTCTCCTGGTATGCCCTGCAGTGCTGCCTGCGATCTCTTCCATCGACTGGGAAAGACAAAACTTCTATTATGTAAGTTCTTTAATTATATGTTCAAAGGTTTCACAAGAACGTGAAATTTTCATGTACTGCCCCCGTTCTTCTCAACAATATTGTTTTCAGTGTCATAGTTTTCATGTCCTAGGGCAATGTCTGTCTGTCTGTCTGTCTGTCTGTCTGTCTGTCTGTCTGTCCCTCTCTCTCTCTCTCTCTCTCTCTCTCTCTCTCTCTCTCTCTCACACACACACACACACACACACACACACACACACACACACACACACACACAGATACCGACCCGTGAAATGTGCTCCAGAAGCCTGTGGTGGATGAGCAAACAGACCCTGCCCAGTATTTCTGTTGTTTCATGTATCCTGTGAAATGTGCTCCAGAGTCCAGAAGCCTGTGGTGCTCCAAGCCCCTCCCCTTTCTGGCAGCTCTGCTATACAGCCTCTGAGTCTGCTTCATGTATCCTTGAGTTTCATATTGCACAGCCAGTATTAGTTTTCTGTTGTTCAATCTGCCCTTACTTCCACCGGGTCGTCGGAAGAGACCATGATCTCTGAAGATCAACCATACTAAGTCTTTCAATTTGGGGGATTTTCCTCAACTAGTTCTTATTTCGGCGACGATTTTGTAGGCTGTTTGCTAAGTATTGTTCCTGTGATGATCTCAAAAACTCTTGACGTGTGCCCCGACCTTCTGGGCTCAACCTACCCTAACGAAATGGCTGCCAGCTCCATCCAAATTTTGTCTATTTCGTGGCTGCCGGCATCAGACAAAACTCTGCGCGTGGCAGCAATATATGTGAATGAGCGGTCTGATGGTCCGATTAAGTGAATGCTTGGTTCTGAGCATGTGTTCGATCAAATGTTAAACCTCTGTCATGGAATCTGATGGCCATGACACCTCATCAATGAGTCATCCTGATGGTTTGAAGTTTGAACTTACTCTGAACTTCTGAAGACATGGCCGCTTTCTTTTTCAGTTTGTTAAACTTTGTTTGTTTAGCCGTTCGCTTTAAGTAATGTGGGTTGCTTGGGTTGCTTATTACCCACATTACTTCTGTGTGAATTTTTTATATGACTTCTGTGTGAATTTTTTATAAAAGGGGGAGGAAGCAGGAAAGCGGCAAAGAGACTCTCACCGGTTTTCCACATGTCGGCTGTATTGTTGCAGATGATGAAGACCCCGACAGTCATGCTGATCTCGCAAACTTGATCATCTCGCTTGGCTGCATCATCCACACTGCAAGTTCAAGAGTTGAATGCCTCCGCCATCTGGAACGAACCTACGATGATGATCATGAAAGGTACGATGTCCTTCTGATAAGCTTGCCGAGTCCCCGACTGCATGATAATCGCACATTGCTGGAGGAAATTCAGAACACTCTGAAGGTTCAATGGAAATCAAAAACAGCAAGACTTAGTCGAGCGACTCTAGTCATCGTTGATCCTGCGGAGCAGATGGAAACCACGGTCAACTGTCTGATGTTTGGCGTGGACACGATTCTCACTAAGCCCGTCTCTCGAGGACAACTGGGAAGGGTTATGTGTGGCTTGCTAAGGCTATAAAAACTGGGGAAGAGTCCAGTCCAACACATTGGCTGCAATCAAAAACACCAATTTGGCCATCATTCATTCTGCTTAGCAGCTGGAAGCCAAGGCCCACTGCCCTAATTCCTAGAATGAACATGATTCTCACAAAGCCCGTGTCTTGAACACGTGGGAAGCTTAGGGGCATCTGTGGAAAAGAGTGTACTAGTCCAGCTGTCTGTGGAAGTTGGTGCTGTATTGTTGAGATGCATGGGTCAAGGGTTTTTGATTACGCTATGTATATGCTGAAAGGGCGATGCAGGGCTTATTAGAAATCAAAGTGATGGCGGTGGAGGGCGATGTGTGGACTCTGTGGAGTTATGTTGTAGGGCATGGGGAAAAAGAAAAGTCGACGATGTGTTTGGGGGCGACAGAGTTGGTGTTTCATATTCAAGGGTTTATTCAGAAGTGTCTTATGCTTGCCGAGTGCTTGGTACGGCATTCGATACCAATTTTGATTAAACCATGGCAGTCAATACACTTTTGATCTAACCATGGTGCAGCTTATGGTTAAGGTAAAAAATCGAAACCTAGGTTTCTTAGTTGTACTCAGTATGTTCTGGCGAGTTCTGATGTGTCAGGTTCTTGTTAGGGCATTCGGATCAGGCTAAACTTCAACTCAGAATGACAGTCCATGTCAGAAATGATGCCCGTCCTGCAGGGTGCACTGAGGGGTCAGGTCTTGCCGCATAATAATCCTGTTTTTCCTCCTGCAGGATCCAGAGGTCAGGGGTCTAGTCGTCGCGCGTTCAGTTCATGTGGCAGTGGGCATCCTGCCCATTTTAGGGGGTATGATTCTGGTCTTGAGGGGTGAGGGGTAAGGAGTCTTAACGACTTGCAGGGGCCATGATTCGGACCCCCTGTAGCGGGGAATGTCCTTGAAGGTGGCGGTACAGGTCCCTTCATGGAGAAGGTGGTTTGTTCAGACGGTGAGGATTCAGACCTTGCAGGGTCAGGTGCTTGGGGGTTGCGGTAATGTTACTATCCCCTTTGGGGTTCGCTTGGGGATAAAATTTTCCGTTCCATCAGGGTTTCAGCACTGCAGTGAATCAGATGCAGTCCTTCAGGGGTTCATGCCCTGAAGGACACAGTCAGGTCCTTGCGCGCCGTTACAGTCGCATTGTACAGGTGTTTGGCTACCTGAGGTCAAGAACCACATCTTGCTGGGGTAAGAGCTACCAAGGGTAGCCGGCTAGTCAGCTCTTCCGTCAGCCACAGTTGGTTTCAGAATCTGTAAAACTGTGTCAATAATACCAGATTGCCACTACCGGTAGTATTGCCTCGTCCACAAGCGAAATTCTGAGATACATCCCAACATCTCATAGAGTTGTCGAGTGGTCAACGGTTTCAGTAACCGGAAGGACTCACAGTGATCTAGAATTCGGCTGATTTCACAGTCCTTTAGAATTTGAGGCTGTTAGCGATTCTGTATATTAGTTGGAGTTAAAATGTTTGCTATCGTTGAATTGTACGCGACTTTCATCACGGACTGTGAAACGTTTCCGTTCAATCTCTGACAAATGAGAGAGCCATGTCGACGAGGTTGGACAACTCTGTATTTGACTTCCTGATAGTTGAAGATATATGTCATTCTTAACTTTCTTCTTGGCAATGCCTGGTAGGGGAGTGGCACACAGCTGTAAGCAAATGATCTTCTTGTGACAATAAGTTTTTCGCCAAGAAGCGGCTCAAGCTGAAGAGGTTGGAAGTTGGAACCCTCTACATTCAATTTTCAAATTGTTGGTTGCTTAGTGTATGTTGCAGTGTTTAGAGTTACAGGCCCTGCCACGTGGCTGAATGTTACACACTTGTTTAACTCTTCATCCTTTTCTTTTAACTCCTGCCTTCAGATTGCTCTTTCTACCTCCTCCTACCTCCTCCTCCTCCTCCTCCTCCTCCTCCTCCTCCTCCCTTCTTCTTCTTCTTCTTCTTCTTCTTCTTCTTCTTCTTCTGTCGTCTCCTCCTCCCTCCTCCTCCTCCTCCCTTCTCCTCCTCCCTCCTCCTCGTCCTCCTTCCTCCGCTTCTTCGTTGTTCTGCTTCCTCCTCCTCCTTCCCCCTCCTTCCTCTCCCTCTCCTTTTCTGCTCCCTTTCCTTTTTTCCTTCTCTTCTCTGAGTCCACATCCTCCCCCTCCTCCTCCTCCTCCTCCTTCCTCCTCTTCCTCCCTCCTTCTCCTCCTTCCTCGTCCCTCCTCCTCTCCCCCCTTTCTTCCTCCTCCCTCCTCCTCCTTCCTCTTCCTCTTCCCCCTCTTCTTCTCCTTCCTCCCTCCTCTCTCCTCTTCCCTCCTCCTCGCCCCCCTCCCTCCTCCTGTTTCCTCCTCCCCTCTCCCGTTTCCTCTTCCTCCACCTCCTCATCCCCCCTCTTCCTCCGTCGTCCTCCTCCTCCTCCTCGTCCTCTCCCTATCCCTTCTCGCCCCCCTCCCTCCTCCTCTTTCCTACTCCCCTCTCCCATTTCCTCTTCCTCCTCCTCCTTCTCATCCCCCCTCTTCCTCCGTCCTCCTCCTCCTCCTCGTCTTCTCCCTCTCCCTATATCCTCATCTCTTTCCCCTCCTCCCTCCTGATCCCCTCCGCCCTCCTCCTCGTCCTCTTCTTCTCCCTCTCCCTATTTCCTTCTCCTACTCGTTCTGCCTTCTCGTTCCTGCTCCTTCCTTCACCTTCCTCCTCCTCCCTCCCTCCCCCTCCTGCTCCTCCTCCTCCTTGTCCTTTTTCTCCTCCTCCTCCCTCTCCTTCCTCTCCTCCTCCTCCGCCTCATCCTCCCCCTTTTCTTCTGTTTCTCTTCTTCTCCTTCTTCCCCTCCTCATCTTCCTCTTCTTCTTCTTTCCTCCTTCCCCTCCTCTTCCTCTTCTTCTTCGTCCTCTGCATCTTTCTTTGGAAGCTCTTCCTTTTTGACGGCATTCCTTACTTCATTACCTCTAGTCTTTTTCTGCACTCCTGTCTTCCTCTTTCTTCTTCCTTCTTTTTTCATCCCCTTTCAGTTCAATGGCGAGTGGGGATGGGGGTGGGGTTGTTGTTTTGTTGTTGTTGGTGGTGATGATTCTGCTGCTGCCGAAGATTCAAACTTGTGCCACGTGGGCCAAGAAGTGGTGTGAATCCAGTCTTTACCCAGATAGCCTTCAACCTCTTCCTTGAACTGCATGCGACATGGTGCAGTTTGAGTGGCTATCCCGCTAGTTGTACGGGAGGACAAATTTTATTTTTTTGGGTCTGCCAGGCATGCCTAGCAGCCCGCGTGTGTGCTCACAGGTTGGCAGGCAAGGTTCGAACATATCTGTAACAACTTCGACCACTTCAAAACAGCAGTGACCTCCTTGACATGATGCATGCTTGCTAGAATCCCAATCAACCCTCCACATAGCCACACACAACGGGCCCCACCCACTCCTGAACACCAATTCTGAAAACATGCAGCATCGGTCCTGCACACAGCCATACACAGCAGGCCCGCCCTCTCCTGTTATTCCTGCCGAAAGGGCAGAGACTAATGTACATAAAGCAATAGTTACTCAGCTAGAGACCAGGCCAACCGCAACAGACAATGTAAATGTTGTCAAAGTGGCGGCAGGGGATGATGGCCTGCATGCCACCGATGTTGTCAGTGCTGCTGAGAGTGTACCCCCTCCTCCACTGCCGCTACCACCACCACCACGACCTTCTCCTCCACCACCTCCACCTCCACCTCCACCTCCACCAGTGCCCACCACCATCACCGTCCTCATCATCGCCAGCACCACCACCACAACTACCACCTCCACGGCCATCCCCATCAGCTCCCCAACACCATCCCCTCTATCAATTGACTCTTCTTCCTCCTCTTCATCATCTCCTCACTCCCTCCCTTCCTCCTCCCCCTCTCCCTCCCATTCCTCCCCTTCATCATCGACCGCACCATCAACACATTCATGGTCATATCGGCCGTCACAGAGACCTCATCAGCAGAGGCAACCATGGTCATGTCGGCCGTCACAGACGCCTCTTCGGCAGAGGCCTTCCTAGTCTCCACCGCCACCTCCTATACAGCGGCCTCGATTGTCCTTGGACAGTGTGATCACCGCACCCCCGGCAGGGGTCAGCGTCGCCACTCTCAATATACAACGGCCAGGAATACTTCATACTGAGTCCAATGGCCACAATGTGGCGATGGCTTTTTCAGTGCTGCAGGTGTGTGTGTGCCCCAGACACGAGGTGCAGACACTTGTGCAGAATTTGCACGATTAGCAGCCACCCTGAGCACAAATACAGCTGCTCACCTTCCCTTTCCAGCATCCAACCCACCTGCTTCTCATTCATCTAGCCGTGACTGCTCCCCCGCTCCAACTGGCCGTGGTCCACCGTCTAATCACTTGATGGAGCCCCTGATTGGAAATGCTCTCTCTTCGGAAGGCATCATCAGCTAGAGTCAATGGAGTTAATACAATTGGAGGAACTTGACAGAAATAGTCAAGACCGTAATGAACCCCCCGCGTGGGGAACCTGCAGAATCAAATTAACTCGTTCAATTTGTCACGGTGCTACAGTGAGGCCATGATTAATGCATTTCTTCTGGCTTACTCCATAGGATGAGCATGCCAAACATGGACCCGATTATTCTTCGGTACATCTTGCATCGTCCAGGTCATTTCAGTGTTTACTCAGATAATTCATGGAGCCTATGGGATGGGTGTAAGGGGCAGACAGTGGAAAATATTAACTACTATCACCGGGTGGTAGAATCTCATTCGGTTTGGCTGATCGATCAGGAACGGTATACGGATGTGCACTCACAAGCTCTACAGCCTCCAAAGTGTAATCCAGCTGAACCTCCCCCGTCCCCTATGCATGGCCAAGCAGCGTGCCTTCCCTCTGATTGGTGAGATTTTGCCACACAGTGAACGGGCCTCTCCAGAGGATGGTGCCTATTTCATGCCATCGTGTCCCCACACAACTGTAGTCCGGTTAGCATGCACACAACAGAGTCTTTGCTCCGATCACTTTGAAGGGATTGTCACTGCCAGCCTCTATCGTAAAAAACTGCGACCCATTGTTTAATACTCATCCACCCCACCCCGTGATTACTTGCCCAGCATGTAGTTTTGGCCTTGACATGCCATGCTTAAATAACTGTGAATGCCAACCGGATTTTCTGCTAACATGTCAGCAATATGCCATGTGTCTCTACTGCCTGCAGTATCCCCCATGCCATTACCCGCCACATCCGAGTCCTCTCCTACCATGTCTCGTATTCAGCGCAATATACACGTGCTGCAGCCGCATATGGATCTCCTTCATCCTGCCAAGCAAACAACCGGCGCAGCAGACTGAGGAGGAAAATATAATATCATATGGACCCCCTTACAGAGAGCTGTACTGATAGGTTATCACCACCAGGGCGCACTGTTTCAGACCAAATCCTCAGCTCAACACCCTTGCTTTGGATCAGTTCTCGTTGTTGTCTGGCCGTCAACAGAAAAATTCTCAATTTCCCACAAGAAATGAAAGATGAAAATTCAAAAAGTATAAAAAATTCCTCCAGTTCTAAAATTTTCAGTTATTTTTGACAAGTTCTGTCTAAAAATGAGTTTTGCCTTCTACCTATATCTATTTGTTGACCATGGAACGAAAGTGTGGATAAGTTTATGAAATATCATGATTAGATTTGAGCCCGGTTCCGACTCAATGATGTACTTCAGGGGATGCTGTGCCCGTTTTCCAGCAGGTGTAGCCCTGCAGGACAGATAGGAGTGCATGCTCTTATCATCATTCCTATCTATCGAAGCGGAGTCCAAAACAAACATTTCATTCTACTCAACAAATACATTTTAATTTAGATTGGATTAACCCATTTTGATCGGAACTCCTTATAATAGATTAAAATAGAATGATAATCCAATTAAAATATTGTATGAACTCATCCAGACTTTCATTCTATCTCTAGCATATAGTTCAACCTAGAAGGGATACCCCATTCTCGAACGGAAAGTTTGTTTGACGGCCATTTTAAAAGGGGAATGAGTCGGAATGACACCTGGGCTACCAGACCCGCAAGGGCCTGGGCAGGTCCGGGCCAGTCGCCCGGCTGACCCGGGCAATACAAAAAAAAACGGTAAAAAAAAATATATATATATCGTCAAATAGAACTGCCCGGCAAACCGTAGGCAGAGAGGGAGAAGAGGACAACAAACAAGGGGCTGTGACAAACTGTTTCGTCGGAGTTTCACCCACTCATCAGGAGGCTGAACCCTCAACAGTCTGCAGAATCCCCTCACTGATTACGCTGTAAATGATAATCTACCTAGAATCCCCTCACTGATTACACTGTAAATGATAATCTACCTTATATATATATAAAATGGGAGCGGGGTATTTTTTGTACTTGCTGAATACTATCGAAATCCGGGGTCTTTTTTTTTGGGGGGGGGGTTAGTTGGGCTTAGGGTAGTGCAAGGGTTCCACCCCCTTTCAAGGCCCCGATTGCCCCCCTCACACCCCCTCGGCCCCTCCTCCAATCAGCCACAGCCGTTCCCCCCCACCCCTGATTGCACACCCCGTTTCCCATACCCCTCTCCCGGCCACCAACCCTGCAAACATGCAACACTTGGGTCCCAGTGCAGCCGGCAGTGAGTGATGTGGCTGCAAATCTTGGAATCTGAGGACAAGCCAAGAACCGGTTTCTTCTTCTTCTTCGTCGTCTTCTTCGTCGTCTGCTTCAGAATCTTCTTCGTCTTCTTCTCCTTCTTCTCCTTCTTCTTCTCCTTCTTATTCTTCCTCCTGCCTTCTTCTTCCTCCTCCTCTTCTTCTTCTTCCTCCTCTTCTTCTTCTTCCTCCTCTGTTCTTCGTTCTTCCTTCTTCTTTTTCTTCTTCTTCTTCTTCTTCTTCTTCTTCTTCTTCCCCCTCGTTGTGCTCATCATTCTTCCTGCCCTCTTGTTCTTCCCCCTGGTCGTCCTCTTCTTCTTCCTCCCCTCTTGTTTTCCTCGTCCCTTCTTCTTCTTCTCCTTCTTCTCCTTCTTTTTCTTCTTCTTCTTCGTTGTTGGGTGGTGGGGATTCCCGAGAGCCCGGCCCTATCCCACCCGCTCGTCCCAACCTTCCCCGACTCGACACATCCCGCCCGACCCTTCCGCCCGACCTTCTCCCCAGTGTCCCCACTATCCCACCCGCCCATCCCGACCTTTCCCATGACCCTATCCCACCCGTCCATCCCGTCCCTCCCGCACTTTCCCCCCGCCTGATACATCCCGACCCTCCCGCCCGACCTTTTCCTCACCATTCCACCCGTCCATCCCGACCTTTCCCCCGACCCTATCCCACCCGTCCATCCCGACCCTCCCGCCGACACATCCCGGCCCTCCCGCCCGACCCTCTCGCCTGACTCTCCTGCCCGTCACTTCCCACCCGACACATTCCCCCGCCAGACACACCCACGCCGGCGGCCTTCGAAATCTTCCCTTCCCCTATTTTGTGCAGACTTGGCCTGGCACCAGCCTGGCCAACCCGCCCGGCCGGGTCTACCGGGCGGGACCCGTGCGAGTCGAGGCGACCATTGCCGCACGGCTGGTAGTTTGTATTTTGAAATAGTGCTGTACAATACTCGTTACAGCAGGCTGTTGGTCGGTAGGTGTTATTCGGAATCAGATTGTTTGTATAGGACAGTAGGAGAGAAATGGTAGGTATAAGTACTGAGAACTTGTTTGAGCTTCATGGACTGCGTCCGGGGATCGGTTTGGACGAGAGTGCCTTGCCCGGCCCCACATGGCTGCGGTAAACATGTAAGGGACGCCGGACCCGTTTTCCGGCTATGAATATAATGGATGGTTTGGGGTTGGAGGGGGGGGGAGAAAAAAAATATTTGTCAAATCAGCAAGTGCTCCTGGGCCACTCTGGTAATGTAGGCTTTAAGTTTTAACCAATACAGGCCCCATCTATTCTGGGGGACAGTCGTCCAGTTGCTTATCACCAGCAAGCATCAGACACAGGTTCAGACAGACTTAGAGGGACGAAGAAAAAGAGAGAGGGCTGAAAGGGGCAAGGAGAAGCCAGGGTATGGGATGTGGGTAAAGATGCAAGCCAGGGAAAGAACAGCATAGAGTAAGATTCCAAAGCCTTTCCCCTGCTGCGACCCCAGCCACCAGGATCAGGGGGGGCTGCATAGAGGGTCATGGCCTCCTAAGGAGTCCTTTTTTATTTTTTATTTTTTTAGGGTCTCCTAAGGAGTCCTAAATGCCTTTTAGTTAAAATTGAAATATTTTCTTGGCGTGATGAAATTGAGTTTTTTTTTGCATGGATTTGGGCCAGATTTTGGATGTATCGCAGATGCCGTACCTTCATCTTACAGTTGATTGAACTTGATTCTTTTGGATGTATCTAGTCGCTTATACGACCAGATTAGCATATGTTCATTGGAGGATGCTTAAACCAGAACATGGTCAGTTCACTCATTGGAGGATTATCAAATCACAACACCCTCCGAAGCTCAATTTCGTCATGCCAGAAAAATATTTCAAGTTTAACTAAATGGCACAGGACCTTCTTGAGGCCCTTCTAGTGAGGCCGTCATGCTGGCCAGGAAAGTTCTATGCAGTATCCAGGCGCACAGCGTAAGCGATCCTAGAGGGAAGAGGCCAGGGACCGTGTCATGTATGAAGCCATCGCGGCATACCAAAATTATGTTGACTTTTACCTATTCTCGCCTTGGAGGATGCTTAAACCAGAACATGGTCCGTCTCGCTTAGACAAGACATTTATCCTTTCCAGGCTAATTCGCCGATTCCCCAACACCTTGGTACTTTACATGCCAACCAGATGGAGCCTCCCCAAGCATGCTAGTGGTGTCTGCTCTTATCAGCACCTCTAGCATTTACTTGGGTTGTTTGTATTAAAAAAAAAAAAAAAAGGAAAAGAAAAAAAAACATGCCAACCTCTTGCCCTCGCTGACAGATCCTGACCGATCACCGTGCAGCCCTTCACCTAGTACCTCCTATTTAGAGTCTCTTTCAAATTGCACACCTAACAACTTCCCTATACAAAATTAGCACCTATTTCTGCCTTCCTGTCCCCAAAACCTACTTTTATGTACAGATCTCTCAGCCTGTTTCCACTTTTGCAATGTTTTCCAGCTTTTTTCTTTCTCAGACTTACAGCCCCAGGACCAGGCTGCT